TAAGTGACTTACAGGTAATAATCAAGCCAGCAGGTTGCTCTTGAGGCAAACAACAAACATTATTCACTGTGCCACTGTCGTCGTATGTTTCTGCATTGGCAGCTCTAAAGCTTGTTCATATCCTTCTTATATTCTCTTGTTGTATCACCCACCCCTTTAGTGTATTTAAGGCTAAGTGTCCCCCACTCTGGACGTATGTACAGTCTATGGTTTAACCAGAAACTTAAAAAATACCTGCTGGTGTTCTTTTGTTTCAAGAAACATCATTGTATGTTTAAGATCTCAGGTTCCACACACTAAACTACAAATCCCACTGGGAGAAAGTTTACAATAGAAGACGGTTTCATTCATGGCTCCATCTGACAGAAGCAATAAAAGTCCTCAAAACAATCATAATGTTAAATAACAGAGTTTTGCTCTGAGGATATTGTAAACGAAACACATTCCTTTGATAGTATAGTTCATATGTGAACGCTGGCTGACAGGAAATGTGTTATAAAGCACTATGAGATCGGTGAGCACTCAAATTCAATTCAAATTCAAAATACTTTATTAATCCCAGAGGGAAATTGATTAACTCCTTTGTCATTCAAATTTATTTTATGCAAATGTACTTTCGATGAAGTCATGCATATTGTTTTGGGGTTTTTTACTGGATATTTTTCCTGTCTGTGCAAATAATTTATTACAAATTTTTACGAAAACAGTTTCATTTCTCAAATGAAGAGAAGAAGACAATAATAGTTATTTTGAACACTAATGACTCATCTAGTTTTATTTGTGTTGAAGCAAAGGTATGGTGTGACTGCCAGGTGGGGTTTTCTCTCCAATGCTTACAATGAATGACTCCTCTTCGTAGTTAATAATGGTTTGGATTTATATATTGCTTTTCAAGACACCCAAAGTGCCTTCCATTATTCACGCACTCTCACATTCACTCACTGCTGGTGATGGTAAGCTACTATCTAGCCACAGCCGCCACAGGGCGGTCTGACAGAGGCAAGGCTGCCATTTTGCGTCATCGGCTCCTCTGATCACTCCCAACACTGGTAAGTTGGGTGGTGTCTTGCCCAAGGACACAACAGCAGAATACCCCTGGCGGGAGCCGGAATATAACCCATGACCCCCTGATCATGAGGCAACTTGCACTACCACCTGATCTAATGCTGCCCGACTTGTTGCTAGTTGTCACAATTTAATTTATGTTTTAAATCAACCCTAATATGATCTCACTGTTACAAAACATTTTTAAAAGTAAATAAGCCCATATAGCTTTTCATATTTGTACATTTTTATTGTCTTAAAGCTGCTGAAAAATCTTTCCAGAAAAGCGCTTTACGCTGTTTGGTCATATCTCAATAACATTAAAGGTGCATTATGCAAGACTGAAGAAAGAATGACATCCTGTGGCCAAATCAGGTTGCTGTCTGTTTTTCTAAGCAAAAAGTAACTTTCTTAATTCCATATTTTGGAATTTCATGGCTATTGCCAGTTAATGATCAGCCCAAGAAAATTCTAGATTCTAAGCAAAGACAAATCTTAAAAGTTGATAAGTAGATAAATACATTGTCATATCTGGTGTTAGCACTCTTGGGTGTTTTACTGTATGAAGCACCTACAACACTTACAATGCCCCCGGCATTAGGAGGAAGTGGTTATTTGCTGTCTTGCATTTTTGGTAACTGAAAAAGTAGTTTGAGATATTTATAGAGCCAACTATTTGCATCTAACCCCTTCATTCCACCGGAGCCGTCAGCAGCACATCATAGCTGCTGATAGGAACTGCTGTGGTCAACAGAACCTTTTCCACCGGAGCCATCAGCAGCGCGAGACGGCCGCGTCTCAGGAGCAGCATGTCGCGGCCCTTACGCGCCGGTTTCTGTTTTCTATGCGCGGTGCCTCTGAAACGGGTCAAGTTCGACATTTTTGGGGAAGGAAAGACAGGAAATCGGACGCAGAAACGGAGCGAAGCTCCAGAGATTTTCAGAATAAAGAAACGTACTGCCTTCCGGTTGCTTTACTTCAAAAAAGGTTACTAACTGTGCGGCCCCGTGAGAAGTTATCACCTAGCTAACGGTCTCCTTTGTTTTTCAGGTCCGTATTGGCGATTATAAAACGGACAGAACATAAAACACAAACCTTTTGGAGCCATGTTGTAGTTTTCTCCTGGTTGTTGTTGTGTTCACTGACAAAGTCACTCGTGTGACTTCGTGCTCTGTCGGTGACAGCTGCTCCCTGCTGCTTCGCGTCTCGTGGGAAGGGCCAAGCAGCAGCTTACGCGAGCAAGACGTGCTGCTGCAGTAACGTGCTGCTGACGGCTCCGGTGGAAAGAAGGGGTTATTCACAATTAGCTTTGTTAGCTCAACGTTAGCCTCAAGACTGCTTCACCCGACAGAGTAAAACAGAAAGACGCCCTGGTTTCTTAGGGGCACAATAACTTCTGGGTCACTCCTGTTTACTTGCTTTGGGTCTTTAGACAACTCTGACACTTTTTTCCTGCTGGTGTTTAATCATGCAGACTCTGCAGTGTTAGCTTGGCGCAAACTCAGCGACCTCACAAACTGACTGGTTGTAAACAGTTCTATGTCCCGCTTAAGTTTTATTGAAAGGAGAAAAACTGACAACCCCCCATCCGGCTGATAAAGAATTGTTTCATTGTAACCTTCTGTCCAACATTATTGATACATTAGACTGTTTTGGGATTATTTCACTTTAAAATTCCTACATATTGCGCTTTTAAACTCATTCTCAAATTAAATTATGTGATCCATTAAAAAACAGAGTATTAGTTGGGTGGGACCCTCAGTGACCATAACGTGAAATATTACCTCTGTGTTTGCAGAAGTGACTGACCTATAGTCATTTTTGTGTTTGCTAAGGTCCACACACCATTTGGTGCATTTACCGAGCTGCATTAAGCACAGCTGATCAATCAGTCTTACAGGAACTGGAACACTAAGGTGTGAACATCATGAAGGAAGTTTTTCTCACAGAACTCTTCCAGTTTCAAGTTGCAGATGTACATCCAATCATACATTGAGACCTTCATCCATTCAGTAGTATGTGAGTTGTTTTGAAAAGGAAATAACAGGCACAGGCAGAAACATTGTTGCCCACCGCTCACCGTTTTGTGGCAGAAGATTTACAGACCAGAAATAAAGGTTGAAGTTATGGAGCATCCACGGAGTTTGAAATCTTTACACTGTGGTGGAGGTTAGATTTTCTTCTGTAGTTCTTTCAGCAGCATCTTTCAGAACCTTGTGAATGAATGTTCTGCAGGTTTGCCTGAGCAGACAGGCTTTGTGCCAAAGAACGTTTGATTAGATTTCAGCTGTGATCTACATCTCAGATTTCCGCCGTCAGACAATAATCCTTTTTTAGACATAACAAAGATAAATACTTGGATCTGAAACAATTACAGCTTGTTTACAAAGTCAGAGAACCAGAAAGTCTGCAAAGCATTTTTTGCTTTTAGAGTCTGGAGTTTTTATGATCATGAATCAATGTATTGATGTTCTTTAAGTGAATGTTTTCTAGAACCTTTGAAACATTGATGGTTCTTCTTCCTTTTCGCCTGGTTGTCAATTAGGATTTCCAGTGCTGCCACAGTGTGGTGCACGCTTGGAGACAGTGGTTTCCCTGCAAGTGATCTCCATAGCAACGGGTAGCCACGTAGTCATGGCGGCAGTTTAGGGCAGGGTGTTGGCAGGAAGTAGAGGAGGGTAGAAGTGCTGCTATTAATAGAGCCTGTCAGGAGCCAGCGGTAGAAAGCATTGGTCTAGTGACACCTCTTCGCACACAGACATATGTGTGTGTGTGTGTGTGTGTGTGTGTGTGTGTGTGTGTGTGTGTGTGTGTGTGTGTGTGTGTGTGTGTGTGTGTGTGTGTGTGTGTGTGTGTGCGCGTGTGTGTGTGTGCGTGTGTGTGTGCATGTATCATCCCGGTTGTTGCCAGACAAGGTGAAATTTATTCACAAATATCGAATAATGAACTAGCTTAAAAAATATGTCATTTTTTCATTTCTAATGTTTATCAGTTATGATTAAAAATCGGAAATCTCCAAGAAGGTAAGTGTTACAAAGTCATTCTGTGGATGGCATGACGCAATTAAAAAACAAAAAATGACAATAAGTAAAAAATATTTTTAAAACTCCATCCAGAAATAAACAGTACAATGTTTTTAAAAAACTACAGAAAAACATGCATGCATATATACAATGTAAGATGTTTATATTTGTATTGTTGCAGGGTTTTTTAGAGTAATATTGGAATAATGTTTTTTTTTAAATGTTAACAAGACCAAACACAACTTTTTTAGCATGAGGATATTTTGCAGCCATATTTCTGAACAACTCATACATTTTAGTTTCATACGTACACCTTTTAAATGCTCCTAGTCTGTTCTTGATAGAAATTTTTTAGAAGACACTGGCAGGATTCAACTTGTAGCCTTCTCATAGGTATTTATGCTACCTACTGCACCACCATGCAGCCCCCTCTGTAATGGTCAGAAGAATTGGACCCAAGGATCCAGCCAACACAGAGAATCAGGGGTTCTCAATCCAGGAGGACCGATATGCAGCAAATTGTCATTGTTTGGTTTGGTTGCAATCGAGGGAACGATGAATCTGGCCAAGTACAAGGATATCCTAGACAAGAACCTATTCCAGAGTGCTCAGGACCATCACCTGTAAGAAACCTGTTGCATATTTACCAAGAAGACTCACAGCTGTATTAGCTCTAAAGGGTGCTTCTACTAAATACTGAGCAAAGGGTCTGATATTCTCACCACCATGTGCTATTTCAGTTTGTCTTTTTAAATAAAGATGAATATAGGACACTCGCACCTCTAGGACACTGAGAAGTTAGTTGTCTTACAGAAAACAACGTTTTATTGTTTGTGATTTTAGTCCATATTACACAGCCTGAGGCTTTAGCATAAGAAAGTTTGCGTAAACCAAAAGAAGGAATTAACTTTCTCTCTCTTTCCTTTTCCCAAGGAATTGCCTCCATGACTGTTCCCGTGTACACCGCTGAAGCATCTCCGCCCCACCTTCGAGGTCAGCTAGTGACCGTCAACACGCTCTTCATCACCGGGGGACAGTTCACCGCCAGCCTCATTGATGGCGCCTTTAGCTACATGCATCGCAATGGATGGAGGTCAGATGGACAAAATAAGTCGCAGGAATACTCATGATGTAGTCAGATATGTTACTAGTGTTTTCTCTTGGTTTCTTTAAAAATGAAATGCCAAAAGATTCTGGCTTATTCAAAATGTCAATACAGGCTCAGATCAGCTGTTATTGTTCACTGAGAGCAGCTGTTTTACATTTAAAAAGATACCACGCTTACACCCTTCTGTCATTTTATTGTCTCCAGTCTTCTGCCTCTGTTTGCATCCTTCTCCTGTTGTCATGCTAAACACAGCTTAAGACCTCCAGAGGGTTTGAACATTGGGCAGGGAGATGTAGCCTCAGCAGTGGTTTTGATGACCAAAGCAAAGGCTTTTCAGAAAGCCATAGAAAGCTGTGCTTCACACCGGATAATGACTTTAGAACCCTCTTTGTTTTGGTTTGTAATGTTTCCTTATTGGCACAATACGTGTACAGAATAGGAAATTGTATCATCACAATGATCTTTTCTATTTAAATGTGCAACATTATCTCGTCCATTTTTTTTTTCAAATACAAGCTCTATACCCTTGCAAGGGTGATGGAGGGGGCATGGGAGTTTGCCCAACCAATCCACATGTGTTTTGTGGATTTGGAGAAGGCTTATGACCGTGTCACCAGGGGCACCCTGTGGGGGACGCTCCAGGAGTTTGGGGTGGGAGGCTTTCTGTTAAGGGCCATTCAGTCCCTTTACCAGAGGAGCATGAGTTTGGTCCGCATAGCCAGTAATAAGTCGGACCTGTTCCCGGTGAGGGTTGGACTCCGCCAGGGCTGCCCTTTGTCACTGGTTCTGTTCATTACCTTTATGGACAGAATTTCTAGGCGCAGTCGTGGTGTGGATTGTGTCAAGTTTGGTGGCAGGAGAATCTCGTCTCTGCTTTTTGCGGATGATGTGGTCCTCCTAGCTTCATCCAGCTCTGACCTTCGGCTCTTGCTGGGAAGGTTCACGGCCAAGTGTGAAGCGGCTGGGATGAGGATCAGCACCTCCAAATCTGAGACAATGGTTCTCGACCGGAAAAGGGTGGCTTGCCAACTCCGGGTCAGGAGAGAGGTCCTACCTCAAGTGGAGGAGTTTAATTATCTCGGGGTCTTGTTCACGAGTGAGGGTAGGAGGGATCGGGAGATCGACAGGCGGATTGGTTCGGCGTCTGCAGTGATGCGGACGCTGAGCCGATCTGTCGTGGTGAAGAGGGAGCTGAGCCAGAAAGCCAGGCTCTCGATTTACTGGTCGATCTATGTCCCAATCCTCACCTACTGTATGGTCATGAGCTTTGGGTAATGACCGAAAGAACGAGATCGCGGATACAAGTGGCCGAAATGAGTTTCCTCCATAGGGTGGCTGCAGGGCTCAGCCTTAGAGATAGGGTGAGGAGCTCGGACATCCGGGAGGGACTCGGAGTAGGACCGCTGCTCCTCCGGATCGAAAGGAGTCAGTTGAGGTGGTTTGGGCATCTGGTCAGGATGCCTCCTGGACACCTCCCTGGGGAGGTGTTTCGGGCATGTCCTGCCGGCAGGAGGCCCCCGGGTCGACCCAGGACACGTTGGAGAGGTTACATCTCCAATCTGGTCTGGGAACGCCTTGGGGTCCTGCCGGAAAAGCTGGTGGAGGTGGCTGGGGAGAGGACGGTCTGGAGCTCCCTAGTTGGGATGCTGCCCCCGCGACTCGGACCCGGATAAGCGGAGGAAGACGACAACAAATACAAGCCTGTGGCTTCAAAGCTAGGAATTTAATGCTTTTTTTAGCTGTTGGATTTCAAATGGCACAAAACAAACGGAGACAAAATATTTTTTACAGCTGTTAATATCTGCTTGTGCTAAGATGGGTTTCACTCGGGTTGTTCTGTTCTTCCTTAATGATACATATGCTTAGTTATGTGTTATGAATTAAATCTGTTGATTTAGTTTTTTACATAGTTTTGTCCACGTTTTCTAGAGTGAACCGAAGCATGGTTGGAAGTATAAGTTTGAAAGATTTTATTAATAATTACGCTGATTAAAAGAGGTCAATATTTGTGGACCACTTTAACCCACCCTGACTGTTAGGCTTGGTTTATGCTTGACTCAAGTACATCCCACACGTAAATTAAACGTGCAGCATTTGTGGTTCCTTCCTACTCTCTGCTGCTTGTCTCCACTGTGAGCCAATATTCTCCCAGACTGTAGGGGGCAGCACGGGGCTCTACGGCATGCATACAACACTACACCATAATAGAGGTAGAAATCACTGTTGTTTACAACATTCTTTCACTGTGTCCTTGTCTTTTTCGGCTGTGACAGCAATTATTGACGATATTTTGATCACGGTGATCTTTATGGACCAAATCATAAAGATGTCTGTACTTACGAACCTCCGCCACTATGAGTGCTTGCCAGTCGGCCATGTTTTTCTGCGCAGGACCGTTTGCGTGGTTAGAAAATTTCCTAGGTGCGCTGTACAGAAACTTTGGGCTGCGCGGAGGCCACGTGGAGGGGGGTGGTTGCTAAAATGACGTAATTTGGCTGCGTGGAGCCGTGTGGACCTCATGGGCATGTCAAGCTTAAACCAACCTTTAGTCATCCTTACTGATGGAAGCCAATTCCAGTAAAATCAATGCTTGGAGTTTATCATCATCAAGTTGTGGATTTTAGTTTAACACCGTCCTCTTGAGAATTTACACCAAATTCGTTACTGGATTAAGGTCGAGCAAGCTTCCTGGAGAAGGATACACATTTTTCATGGTTTGTTCATTGAGTAACTTCCTTATCACAAATTTGCTCTTGAATGTGTGGTGGAGAAGATGTTTAGGTACCTCCTTGTCCACATTGTCATCTCCTTACCTAGGTGGGGGTTTCTTTAAGTGACAGAGCCATGAAATGGTTCATTCTGGAAGATACTGAAAATGTTGACAAATGGTAATTGCCTGTATTTGTATAGCGCCTTCTTAGGGTTCTACAACCCCTCAAGGTGCTTCACAATACAATCAGTCATTCACCTGTTCACACATATCCACATGCTGGTGATAATGAGCTACTGTGTAGCCACAGCTGCCCTGGGGAACACTGATGGATGCAAGAAGGTGGAACGTTGGTCCCTCCAACCACCACTAGCAAGCAAGGCGAGTTAAGTGTCTTTCCCAAAGACACAACAGCAGCATTCTCTGGCAGAAGCCAGGATTGAACCTGCAACCTTCTGATTACTGGACAACCCACCATATCTCCTGAGCTACTGCTGTCCTACAAAGAAAACCCTGCTGAAATAGCTTCATGTGAGAGAGATATAGAGAAAATTACTTCCTAAACATGTTTTGTACTAACCATAAAACGTTCAACATGTCTTCTTTAAGACTTGACATTTCCTTCAGTTTTCGTTTTAATGTTTCATCATGTGAGCATACAAACGGAGCTTAGTTCAACAACCATTTCCTGTCCCTCTCCATGTGTCATCCTCACCTCTAGGTACATGTTGGGTCTATCTGTGGTTCCTGCTGTGATCCAATTCATGGGATTCCTCTTCCTGCCAGAGAGCCCTCGCTGGTTGATTCAACGTGGGCTCACGCAAAAGGCCCGACGTGTTCTCAGTCAGATACGAGGTCACCAGAACATCGATGAGGAGTACGACAGCATCAAAAACAGCATAGAGGAAGAGGAGAAGGACAGCGGAGGAGGTGAGGGGGGCGTGACACTATCTGTTCGAAAAGCGTGGCTCTGAAAATTTGTAAAGGGAAATAGTGATTGTGGTAAAAATAGAAATTTTTCTGAAGATTTGCAGGTGCACAGCCTAATATCTTGTTTTTAATATTTTATTTGTTACTCTTGTGCCCTCTTGTTGCATAAAGAAAGCATTTAGGACATAAAAATAAAAAAGACACAGTCGAGCTAGAAATCTTACCTTTGAGTAGCTGTTGTTTTATATCAAACAAAGAAGAAACTATTAATTTTCAGAGGTAGAACTGGGTCTGCTGAATTTTTAAACACATTCAAAGGTAGTGATGAAATACAGACGCAACCATGCTTCTGTCTCAGTCTGGAAGCAGTTGTCTTGTAACAAATTTGTATTTCCTCTACATGAATGTCTCTCACAGACAACCTCAATGGTTTAAAAGCAGTTGTCTGCTCTTGCTGTCTCGTTGTATATGTGTGTGTGTGTGTGTGTGTGTTTGTGTGTGTGTGTGTTTATGTATATAAATATACATAAATAGGGGTGCACCGATCTATCTGCCCCAATCTTGGGTTTATTTCAATATCGATGATCGGCCAAAAACTGCAAATGGTGCACCATGGACGTCACTAGGATTGAGAGATGGGGGGGGGGCTTAGCCCCAGGAGCTTGACCTTGAACATTTTTTGTCACACCCTGCAAAAACTTTGTCAATTAATTCATTATCTGAAGAACATTTAACCAAACCTATTATTTTATTACTTTCTTTTCCTTTCCTACCTTTGTGCATTTTCTCTCTTCTTTTAATAAAAAAAATAACACTTAATCAGTTCATTAGTGGGGTCTATGTTGAAGAAAGATTTTATATGTCCATTAAAAATTAGATATGTTATATTTCCAAATAAAGCTATTCATTTCAGTCTACTGCACTTAACAGGGGGAAATGTTGCAGTCATTTGTTTAATTACAACTTGCTTAATTATAAATGTTACTGAAATATGACAAAGAACAAATGAATAATTGTCAAACTTTTATTCTGCCAAATGAGTGTGCAGTTGACAGTTTTAATATATGAATAACACTGCTATGATATGGAATAAAGGAGTATGTAATTAACAATTACAAGACAAAATAACAGTATATATAAAAATTAGGGCTGGGACTTGATTAAAAATTTTAATCTAATTAATTAGAGGCTTTGTAATTAATTAATCTAAATTAATCACATTTTAATAGTTCAGGAAAATGTGCTCTCAAAGCAAAACTTAATTAAAATTATGAGACAGAGAATTAAACATTAGACATAGTTATTACTGTAAAACTAAAGCTTTTAATAAAAAAATGCATTTTAATTAATCAAATGTCACTGTGTGATATGAAACAAGACCCAAATCAACTAAAATGTATAATTACAAATAGAAAACGCCTGCAAAGGATTCCTGAGCCTTTAAATAGTCTCTCTGTCTAGTTGAACTACTGAAAGAAATTTGACTTTGCACCAGATTCTAATTTTTCCAGTTTCACTTGTTTGTATAATTGGGAGTTTTTATTAGCATTTCTACTCATAATGTAGTAAAAGCACATAAATAATAATCCTTCAAAATGACAGTAGAACAGGCACAAATATGATCTAGGACTTAAATGTACTAACTTTTAACACCAGAGCAGGCGTGGCATATTCTCAGAATGATCAGGAACACTAACTGGTTCCAGTTGGATGACTGGAGGATGATGGGATGATAAAAGATCATGGGGAGGAAATAATGATGTGACGAACAGGTGAGCGGACCTTCCTTTCATGGGTCACGTTAAGAAGGGGATGCCTCGTTTGTCTGACTACTTTCATAAACTACTGTTAGGGCACAGAATTATTCTGTCTGGTGCTTTCAGCGCTGCACAGATGTCACGTAAATGTTAAAAAATATAGCTTACCGCAACTTTTCTAAAGTTTCCAGTGCCACCGGGCAGCCGAAGCAGAGACGATCTCTGAAAAATGTCCGCGACACGGACTCCGTTGTTGTCTGGAAGTTCATTTTTTTCAAGTTAAGAAAAGAGGCGGACGGGTTTCCCAAATCCTGCATCAGTCCAAGCAAGGCAACTTCTTTCTGTTTTTATTTCGTTTTAGTAGCCATTAGCACTGTGCATTGTTGTGTGTGTCAGTGATATTCTGTCTACGAGGAAGTCGTGCAATGACAAAGGTTCCGCGGTGCTCGAAATGCAAGGAATTAATCATAATTAACGCGTTAAAGTCCCAGCCCTAAAAAAACTCAAAATGATAGGGGGGCTTGTGATTATTTTAGGGGGGCTGAAACCCCCCTAAAACAGACCTAACAACGTCAGTGTGGTGCACCCCTAGTTAATGTTAAAGCAAATCATTGTTATAGAATATTTTTTGGGACAAGTAAAACAGGTACAAAAGTTTTGTTTGTAAAATTAGAAACATGAAAGTCTAAAGGAACAAATATGATTTTATAGTTCAAGTAGCAATGCTAAATATGTTAATTTATATTTGAGAACATTACATCATGTCTAGTTGAAACTGGTATCGTTTCATGAGTAATCATATTGGTTTTCTCAATAAAAGGAAATTGACGTAATCTGCTTTGAGTTGAGACAAAATCTGTGTCGGCAAGTCAGGTTTTTCTCAAGATTGGTGACCAAAACTGCAATTGGTGCACCCCTATATATATATACAACCCCACAAGGCACTTCACAACACAATCAGTCATTCACCCATTCACATGCTGGTGGTCCATTCACAGCTGCCCTGGGTTGCACCGACAGAGGCGAGGCCTGGCGAACACAGGCGCCACCGGTTCTTCCGACAACCACCAGTAAGCAAGGCGGGTTAAGTGTCTTGCTCAAGGACACAACAGCTGCAGTCTGTGGTCAGAGAATCAACCTTAAACCTTCGAACCTGCAACGTTCCCCTTTCTGGACAACCTGTTAATCCAAAGGGCTCAAATGAAGGCAACTGGACTTCTTCGGTTTCTTGAACGTTTTTTTTTTTTTTTGTCCAAGAAGTCCAGTTGCCTTCATTTGAACCCTTTGGATTACCATGACCTGGATGACTGGGAACCTCCACCAGCATGTTGACAACCTGTTCTACTGAGTTACTGCTGTCCCTAGTACCAGGTTCGGCCCCCATTTTGCCTTCACAACTGCCTTAATCCTACATGGCATAGATTCAACAAGGTACTGTAAACATTCCTCAGTAATCTTGGTCTATATTGATGTGACAGCATCATGCAGTTGCTGTAAAATTGTGGGCTGCACTTCCATGATGCAAATATACCATTCCACCACATCCCAAATGTGCTCTGTTGAGATCTGGTGACTGTGGAGGCCATATGAGTACAATGAACTCATTGTCATGTTCAAGAAACCAGTCTGAGATGATGTGAGCTTTATGACATGGTGCATTATCCTGCTGGAAGTAGCCATCAGAAGATGGGTACACTGTGGTCATAAACGAATGGACATGGTCAACAACAATACTCGGGTAGGCTGTGGCCTTGCAACGATGATCGGTTAGTAAATAAAGGCCTAAAGTGTGCCAAGAAAATGTCCCCCACACCATTACTTCACCAGCCTGTACCGTTTAAACAAGGCAGAATGGATCTATATATCAATCATGTTGTTGACGCCAAATTTTGGTCTTTCCCTCTGAATGTTGCAGCAGAAATTGAGACTCATCAGTCCAGGCAAAATTTTTCCAATCTTCTGTTGTTCAATTTTGGTGAGCTTCTGCTAACTGTAGCTTCAGTTTCCTGTTCTTAGCTGACAGGAGTGGCACCCGGTGTGGTCTTCTGCTGCTGTAGTCCATCTGCCTCAAGGTTTAATGTGTTGTGCGTTCCGAGACACTCCTCTGCATACCTTGGTTGTAACGAGTGGTTGTTTGAGTTACTGTTGCCTCTGACCTCTGGCATCAACAAGGCATTTTTGCCCAGAGAACTGCCACTCACTGGATGTTTTCCCTTTTTCAGACCATTCTCTGTAAACCCTAGAGATGGTTGTGTGTGACAATCGCAGAAGACCAGCAGGTTCTGAAATACTCAGACCAGCCTGTCTGGCACCAACAACCATGCCATGTTCAAAGTCAATTAAATCACCTTTGTTCCCCAATCTGAAGCTCGGTTTGAACTGCAGCGGGTCGTCTTGATCACGTCAACATACCTAAATGCATTCAGTTGCCACCATGTGATTGGCTGACTAGTAATTTGCGTTAATGAGCAGTTGGACAGGTGTACCCAATAAAGAAAGAAAGAAAACAATCTTTTCTATAGCGCCTTTCAAGATATTAAGTCATGAGGCGCTTCACAAAAACAAATAATTTCAAATGTAAAAAATGATTTAGAAAATGATCAAAAATATGTTTAAAATGAGCAGAAATTGACAACTGTGGTCAGTGACTATATATCACAAAACAAGGTAAGACTTTCACTTTATTACAGCTTTAGATGTCATGTTAAGCTTCTATTCCTCTCTAGTAAAAACAAGACAAGCCAAAGCCACAGCCACCCTGCATTTGTGCAAGGAGTCTAATTTCTCTTGATAAAACTTAACTAATTAATTTTTTTTTTTTTTTTGTAGTTTTGGAAGCAGAGTAGAGGTGGTTTGATCAGAAACACAAAAAAGCTTATTACAGTAAAAACAAAAACATAATAAGGTTAGGGAAGTATGATATTGAAGTATTTAATTTAGACCAGCATAGACCCTAAGAATAAAGAAGTCCAGGGAGGATAACGAGTCGCTGCTTCTTTCACTTGTGTGTTTAACACCTTACTTCAGAGTCATGTCCCTTTGATGTCCTCAGTGAGCCTGATTAGACTGATCATGTTCTCCTCCCACAGTGAGATGAAGTATTTTCTACTGAAGGAACGTTAAATTGTTCACAAGCTGTGCTGGATCAACTGACCCTTCTTTTGACTCCAAATAGTTTTGCTTTATGGATTTGCTGGTAGGAGTTTCTGTCCACCGATTTTTCTCCAATCAAACATCGGTCCTCCTGTCAAAAGTGAGAGGAATCAAAAACAAATGTAAACACAAGGACAAGGTGGGAAAGGCAAGTGTCTGCAGTGTCTGTGTGTGTGCGTGTGTGTGCGCGTGTGTATGTGCGCACGTGTGTGTGTGTGTGCATGTGTATGTGTGTGTGGGGGGGGGGCAGTTAGAAGATATTCATACATTATGGTTATTTTTTGTATGAGCTGACCTTTGCTCATCCACATCTGTGCATGTATTTGATCTGAGGTTGTATGTGCAGACATTATTGATCCAGGTTGTCAGAATGGAAGTCGATGGAGCTTAGTTAGCTGATCTGGTGTGTGTTACACTCCAGTCTGGTCTGGCAGATCTTTATCTTGTTCATGTTTATGTTTATTTATTTAGCAGACGCTTTTATCCAAAGCGACTTACAATTTATAACCTATAGAGCATGTTGTGATCTGTGGGGGAAACCGGAGTACCCGGAGGAAACCAACGCATGTATAGGGAGAACACGCAACTCCACGCAGAAAGGCCACAGCCGAGTTTCGAACCTGCAACCTTCATGCTGCGAGGCAACAGTGCTAACATCTGCGCCACCATGCAGCCCATCTTGAAACATCTCTGTAATCCCAGCTCAAACTGGTCAAAGAACAAAGTACTGAAAGGCAACAACATGCACGCAAGCTTATTTAGATTTTTTAAATTCTGTTTTAACCCTCTGGAGGCAGTCGTTGCAGATTTGTAGGAGTTCAAACCTACCTACCTGGTTACTCTACATACGTATTTCATGAGCATTTTTAACTCAGAAGTACCCCTGAAGGACTTAGTTGTTCGTCCTTTTATCAAAACTTAATTTGATCTTGAGAGGGTTAACTCTGCTGTCTGATATTCAAGGAAAAGAAAAGCAGGGGTTAAAAACAGAAGAAATAATCAGCCTTGATAACAGAACACATATACAGAATACAGTTTGATGATTTGTTTTTTGGAGAGGGGTGTTTAAAAAATGTGGTTTGCCAACAGTCCTTAATTTTTTTCTGTTGACACCTCACCAGTATTATTGTTTCATTTCATAGGGTTAGAATAAATGTCACTCAACCTTTCCACTAGATATGTAAATGTTGCACAATGTAATACAGGAGTTTTACCCGCAAGCTCCCTTTTAACCAGGAGCATTACAGACACGAAAACATCCCAAGCAGCTGGTCTTGCGAGGTCACAAAATCATGGGAGAATTTGACTTCCTGTCTGACCAGATCTGAACTGCAAAGTGTGACATGGGCTGGAAGCATAGTGTGTAAAAAATAGACTCAGAAGTCTAAGCACTGCATCCCAACGCTTCATGGACACGTCCAAAACACGGTGCTTCACGGCCGGTGGAAAGACACCTGTCCACCATAACGGCAGCTAATTATGTTCCGCAGCCATTATGTGGTGCTCTCTCATCTGGTGGAAAGGAGGGGTCACTTTTAAGAACTACCCAGTCCCTGTGCAGCGAAGCAAGAGCTGCGTCTTCCTTCTGAGCACTGAGCTTGTTCCCTGTCCTCATTCTCCATGATGTTTGCAGATGATGTGATTGTGTTTGTGTCTTCAAGCCATGACCTTGCACATGCACTGAGGCGTTTCATATTCATTTGGGACGTGGCCTAAATCACTCGTTTGCTGACAAGCTTCGTCCCTAGACCTTTTAATGTGTGATCAAAGTCTTTCGGGGATGACTCCCCAGACAACTTAATCCCCTGATTCTTCAAATCCTCAAAAGGAGAAGCAGAAAAGTTTGACAATTTTGATGTTGATGATGGAACGCTCAATCAGAATTTCAAGAGGAGTTCGAATATCTAGTTCTTGCTTTTTTGATGGTGCAAAAAATGGACCAGTTGCCAGTGGTAAAGCAGAAGCTGAGCAGAAATGTGAAAGTCGTGATTTACTGGACTGTCTCCAACAGGGGAAGATTTGAATTGTTACTCAAACAAGATACTGGTTGCTTTAATGAGGTTCCCCAGTAAAATTTTATTAAATACTTCTCCGTCAGCTTGAGTGTGGAATGTGGAGTGCGCACGCAATGACGGAGATGTTTTCCCTTCTCCGTCACCTGGGGAAAGTTGCAAAGCAATTCTCCTCCAAGACAACAGAGGACGTAGCGCTGTTCTGGGGTATCCTGCCACCATTGCAGTCATGTGGTCCTAATTAATGCATTTCCTATTGTGTTTACATTGTTTTAATGTAATCCCTCTTCCTCCTCCACCTCTTCATGCTATCGATACCTCTAAACCCACATTTCTCATCATTTCCATCTACGAATAAAACACTTGCTGCGTATCTTTGTACTTCTTCAGTCATAAGTGACTAAACGTTCATACTTTGGACTTTTCCAGTAGGTGTTCCATGTCTGCCTCTAAATATTTTTTGAGGGGGGCGATGGCAGTGCTGTTGACAAATTTAAAGGAAGCAGCATCCTGACCAGTCCTTAGCTTGCAATCTCTTTTGGCGGATAGTCAAGTTGGGCATATCTCCGTCGGAGAGCCCTTGTGCCAACGTGCAGTGGCGTTGCCTGTCTCCACACCCATGCATATGGAGAAATATAAATTGGCAGCCAGGCTTGACTTTAAGGGATAAGGTGGTGAGATTGTTTGTATCTAAAGGAATCAGCTGAGGTGGATCCATGCACATCTTTCTGTGGAGACTCCAGAGAAGACCCAGAAACACATTTTACAACAGTAAACCTAATATTCGTGCCTTCTCTACTCAGAGATGATTTCTTCAAGTATTGCAGTGAACATCCTTTCAACTGCTACATCCTGCAGTCTGACAAGTTTCCAACTAGACTTTTGTAGCAGATGTGTTTTCAAAC